CTTACTGACATAAATGAACATTTGCACGATATTCTAATTTTTCGAGTTTCACCTGTATAAGAAATTATTTCTGCATGCATATTACATATCTGTATTTACAAGGGGCCAAGACTAGATGAGGATTAAATGAGACTTAATGTAAACAAGGCGAAAATCCTGGAAAGCGTGATACCTGAGGGAGACTGTTGTGCCTTTCCTGGTTTTGAGTTTTGTAGTTTCTTAAGTTTCAGATTTTCAGTGTAAACAGGTCCCTGGATCATTTAAGAGAAATTTGGCACTTTAACTTTTGAAAAGTGAGGAGCTGGTGGTAATGCAGCATTGTACTCATGATGAGCTATCTACATTGGCTATCAGAGCTGTAGCTGCAAGCTGCATGCTTTAAGTTTGGAACTGACTGTCTGAAACATTGGCGACTCAGAATTTACTTAAATAGTGATAAAACTGCTATTGGTAGTTTTTTTCTGTAGGATTATGAAGGACTTCTGTCCAGCACTGTTCCATGTATGCGTTTCTAAGGTTAAATATATTATCTTCCAAGTCGGCTGCTTACCTTCTAGTGCTTATTTCTTCTCTTCTGAAAAGAAGCAGAGTATGGAATTGTAATATGAGACTCAAGCTGAGTAGGAGTCAGAGACATGCCTTAGAAGAACAGACTGTATTAAAGAACTGAGAGTCAAACTCTTTGTAAACACTGGGCAACAATTGGCCTTGAAAGGATCTGGGAGAAGTTGCTAATAAGTTTTTGTTTTTGTTTTAATAAATATCAGTTAACTTCATCTGTTACTCTAATTTTTAAAATTAATATTTGAAATGCTTATTGCAGGTTGGTAGTTCCTGAGACACATTTTCCTATAAGCTTATTTTGTATGTTTCAAATGAGAAAGAGAGGATTAGTTAGGACTTTAATGCATCTTTGTTAAAAAGGGATTGGGAGAATCTTCTGGAACTTTCATCACCTCCTTTTGAATGGAGATTGAATACAGGAAGTTATTGAAAAGTACATTGCAGGCAGAACTAAAGGAGATCAGAAAGTGTTTTTCAGTGAGATATGAGCTGTGACCTCTGCTAGGTTGACTGCAGGATTATAGTGAAAACTGCACACCATTAAACATGGGAAGTTTTTGCCAGAATAAACAGTGATAGTTTTGTGGCTGAAAAATAGTAATACTGAGTGACAGATCTGAATGGCAGAACAAGTAGTCATCTACAGATACTCTCCTCTGTTAACTGAAGGCTTCTTGTGCATTCCATTTATCTAATAGTACAAATGAATTGGAATTTTTGTATCCTCCACTTTAGTGTTTGCATGAATAAATATGTTTACATACAAAGTAGAATATTCAGAATCACTCTGCTGCCTTATAACCCATCCCTGCATCCATTACCAAACTTCTTTGGTGTAAGCTAGTGTGTGTCTCTGTGAATTGGTGGCACTATGTTCTTGGTATTTTCTTTAAGAGTCACGTTCATGATGCAATTTCTCATGCAACTTATCTTTCAAAGAAGAATGATAACTGCTTTCTTATTATTTTAGTGGCATATGTCCTACTCTAATCACAAACAAAGTTGACCATCATAAATCCCAAAATTCATAATTTGGGTTGTTAACAGTACAATAAAAATAAATCAGTAATATTACACAACGTACATACAGCACTGGAAACATTTATTTACTTGCTTACTTGTTTAATTTGTATGCCTATATGCTGTAGATGGCCAACAATGAAAGAAAAACAGCACATACCCCAATAATATATATTTATAATTAATTCACATTTCTAAGGCTGCTCAATATGTTGGTGACTCTGGATAGCATGCAGAATTAAAAACAAAGATATAAAACAATGACAAACACAAAAGTGGTCATCCTGGTAGAATAAAACATCCAGTAACAATCTATAAAACCCATCCCATAGGGAGCCCTTATCCCATACTAGTGCATAGCTTAGAGAAAGAGTCGAGTCTTCAAGGTATATTTAAAGGAAAGCAAGGTTGGGGCTTTTCAAAATTCTCAGGGGTGGGGTGTTTCAAAGGGTAGGTGCTGTGATCAAGAAGGTGTGCATCCTGGGTCCTGTCACATGACATTGCTTCACGGATGGGATCCAGAGCATGTCAACTTTATCTGATCATACAGTACTAGCAGAAACAAAGGGAGAAAGATGGTCCCACAAATTTTTGTCACTAAATGATGCAGTCATAAAGTGCTGTGGCAGTCCCTGCAGTCCCTGCAGTCCCAGTTGCCATTGTTAACCGAATCCCATGATTGTTAGGTGAGGTAACTTCCTGCCAGCTTCCCACAACCAAAGTCAGAGGGAAGCCAGCAGGAAGTTGCAAGTTCCAGGCCAGCAGACAGGTAAGCGGCTGGTGCCAGGTGGGGGAGGGAGCAAGAGGATGCACAGGGGTGCAAGGGAGGGTTGGAGAGGGTGCAAGGGGTGCACAAGAGGTGCAGTGCACATCAGGGAGGGTGCAAGGGGGTGAGTGAGAGGCATGGTGTGGGTCAGGGAGTGTGTGTGAGTGGCCAGCGTGGCATAAGTGCAGAAGGGTTGGGGAAGGATGTGCAGGTGGGGGAGACTTACACCGGCAACTTGTGATCTTCCCTCCGGCTTCTCCATTGATTTTCTGGGGAAGCCAGCAGGGAGGTTTGCAAATGGCAATCATGTGATCACAGGGCGCTGCAACCGGTCATAAGTGCAAACTGGTTGCCAAGCAACCAGATCGTGATCACGTGACTTCAGGGTGTTGGGATGGCTGGAAGTCTGAAGACCGGTCATAACCATTTGTTCAGCACTGTTATAACTTTAAACAGTCACTGAACGAATGGTTATAGGTCGAGGACTACTTGTAATCAATATAACAAAAATCAGAGACTATCCACTATTAGATGGACCAAGACCACAACACTCCAGTCCCCAAGACCTGATAGAATAAATGTGTTTTAATGGGCTTTCTAATAACCATAGAATGGGCAGCAATTGAGAAGACTGACTTCTGTGGCCCTGTAGATGGCATTTCCTGAGTAAAGGGTCCTGGAGGAAGCCCATCCTTCCAGATCTTGTTCAATAGGCAGAAAATATTTGGAGTAGATAGTTCTGCAGATATTGAATAGTCAAAATGCTATTGAGAATATTCTTCCCTATTTCTATACCTTAAATTCCTCCATTTTGAGGAATTAGAAATGAGGCACTATAATGTTCCACCTTTTTAAAAGAAAGCAGCTTTATGCATTTGTTAGCTTAACCTTTTGATAGTAAGTTTGGTGCAAGTGTGCCACTGCATTTTTTTTTAAATCCTCTTCAACTGAATATTAATAGCAACTTGGCCTTGTTATCGTTAATATTCTTTATGATATTAAGATTAATACCTTAACATTTCTGCTACATTTATTATGCCTAATAAATCCTGAATGTTGTGGGCATGAGAAAACAGAAATGCACAAAGATTTGTCATTAAAACATAAATGCCCTGTAAAATGGAAAGAAGTTAAATGATCACAAATGAAATATTTGACTTCATTAGCACATACTTATCACTTTAATCTGTTCTTTTATAATTATAAGATACCAGTACTGTACATTTATTTTAGATACCTGTCTGAATGTTTAAATATTTCCATACTCCCTCTCTGGTTTAATATGTGTTATGAAAAGCCCTTCTATAGAATAATGTTAATTATTCTAGGAACACAAACAAGTCAAGGAACATTAGTCCTTAGTTGGCCACCTTCAAGATTGATGTCAACATTTGCCTATATAATCTGTCAAATATCCTAAATGCTACCCTAGATGGGCCTAAGAATTTTGCATATGTCCCAGTTCTTCTGACTTCGAACACTAAACCTCAAACGACACATTACAGATTGATTCTTTTGAAGTGTTTCTGAGCTTCAAAAGCAATTTCTAGATTCTTGTTTTTCATAACACACATCAGCAAAAAATCTTGGACATTCTGCACTAACTCTGCCTGTGGTACAGTGATTTGGAGCGGATTTTTGCAGGACTGTATTCCTTGCTCGTTTTTTAACTGCTCATTGTAAATTTGCATATTGTGATTATATGTTGTTTAATACTTCGTTCTATTTTGCTTCAGTCACATTGATCAGACAACAACATGGCAGGATCCAAGGAAGGCTCTCCTTTCCCAAATGAATGTTACAGCTCCTACAAGCCCTCCGGTACAGCAGAATATCATGAATTCAGCAGCCGGTAAGGAGAAATCAACAAAAATTTCTAGGGAGTTGCAAGAAGTTTAACATTTAGTGTGTAAAGTTTATGCTGCACCAAAGTGTAGTTTGTCATTATTGCTGAGGATTTCCTACTGAAAATGGATCCTAAACAGATTGTCTTCCATATAATTACTTATTACATCAATACTTTTAATGAGAAATAAAACACATAATTAAATTTATTAATGGGAGGTGTTATGCAAGTGAAGGAAGTGAGCTTGATTCTTTCGAAACATTGTAATTTTTAAAGCAGTATATCAGGATTTGTGCATAATGCTATAAGTACATGCAAATCTACATTATCCATTTCCTAGGCTTTGCCTTGTCACACTGAAAACTTTTTCAGTTTTGTTTCTTTTGTATCTTGGTGTATTTATTTCTTGCTGTTTTGTTTGCTATGACTTCATAGTGGCTTTTTGGCATTAGTTTGTCATGTAAAACAAATCTTTTGAAAACATCAATATTATTTTCTTAATTCCATTTTGTCAGGTGATTCAAACAACAAAGAATACTCTTTAATAGCAAAGGTATGTCAAACGTATCTGTTCCTAAGACAATGCTATAGCTGTGGAGGGCAGCTCATTATTCTTGGGGAGAGATGTAGCTGCCTTAAGCAGATGCCTACAGGTATTACATTAGTGTTTGCTTGTGCTTCAAAGCATTATTTTCCCTTGGGATGTAAAGTACTACACAGTCCTAAGAAATCTGAATGGACTAGGCTTTGGACTGGAGCAAATCAGACTGCAGTGTACAGGGGGAAATGAGTTGCTTGTGTGAAACATGCTGTCTCCCTTGTTGAGTCTTGCCATCCAACTTTTTTTTTTCCTAACTTGTCTTTGACCTGTCATTCCCACAACCTTTTCTACATTTTAATGAATAATTAATTTTCTGTCTTCAAAATACTCAAAGTAGCTTACAAATACATAACACACAGATAAAATCAACTGTAAATACACAGAACATTTAATACAAAAAATAAAGTATACTCAACAAAAGGAACAAACTAAATAGAGTATTGGACAAAAATGAACATTGACCTTTTGGCAATTTGTGAGGGAAAAATTCTTTTGAATGAAGATGGGTCTCAGATTTTCAAAAAGGCACTTTTCATAGATTCTGCCGCAGATACATTAATAATCAGTAAACAGTTTTGCTTCTTCTGTGGCAAGGTTTATACTGTGGAGAAAAATGTGGTTGGAGTTGTGATTGGGCCCCTCATTATGGAGGCTCAAATCTACTCTTTTTTTTTTTTTTTAACTACATCTGTTAGAGTTTTATTTGCTGCTGATTGTGTGCTTTTTTATAGCCCAAGTCTGTTCATGGATAGGCTGGCTGAATGGATGGATGGATGGATGGATGGATGGATGGATGGATGGATGGATGGAAAGAGAGAGAGAGGGAAAGGGAAGGGAAGGGAAGGGAAGGGAAGGGAAGGAAGGAAGGAAGGAAGGAAGGAAGGAAGGAAGGACTACTGTATCTGGAAAAACTAAAGTGAAATGGTTTAGTTCTGTTCCTGCCAGGATTGTGAATCAACAGATATTGGAACAGGCAATCAGAAAATTTGTTTGCAATTTGCCCCAGTAAGAATATGCTAATATCTGTCTGCTACTAGTTTTTGTGTAGTAATCTGAAGAAGAAACAGTTGTCTTTCCCTGAGAGAAAAGGTCTGGATTATTAATCAGTAGCTTCTCCACTCGTTCTGGTAGATAAAATCCAGGCTCTTGGTCTGAATAACTAAAGGGATCTTAATATTCCTCATTTCAGTGACACATCTTGTTCATCTTGAAGTGAAAAGGTAGATTTCATTAAAATATTTGTATGAGCAAATACTTTTATGACTAAGAAAATAAGTGTTTTACTCTAAATGGTTAAGGTTTGTTCCATAGCCTAAATTCTTCATCTGCTTGGTGTCCTTCCTAGAAGATTAAGATGATAGCGTGAAAACTTTGTAGATGTTGTTGTACTGTTATTTGCTCCATTAGTATGTTAAAGGAAAAGCTTTTATTTGAGAAAGTTGGTTGATTATATGAGAGAGAGAGAGAGCTCATCTAAAGTTACAGAAAAAGATCTATATGAAAATTTCTAGGTTTTTTTAGCAAAATAAATTAATGTGATTATTTTTTTCTTAAAAATCATGAATTGGAGAGTGGTGAAAGCTTCACAGTTAGTACTTCTTGATTCAGTCTGTCTATGCAATAAGACGTGTTGCTGATTTGAAAGGACATTCCTTGCTGAGGAATAATAGAGATTTGTAATTAGTCATACTTCCTAAGCTTGGAAAAAAATAGATAATTATGGGTATCTAAGAATGTGGAGAGAACACTGCAAATTATTGTGGCGGTGAATGTAGTCTTAGCAGCAAACTGTTTCATCTTGGCCCAATACGTAACAGTGAGACATGATTTAATGGCATTGTATGAAGTTCAAAATTGTTTTGTGAAAATAGTATTTGGTTCAACAACATATTCATTATAGGCAGAACCAGTGGTTGAAAATAGGCAGATCTTCAATGGTTTTATTTATTTGTTTGTTTGTTTTGATTTACAGTATATGGCTGCCCATCTCAAGCACATGACTCTGGGCAGCTCACAACATTAAATGATATATCTGTTCTTTGCAAGCCTAACCTGCATTAGATGCTATTGGTGTATTCTGAATCATTTACCGATTCTGTTTAGAAACATGCAAGCAAAAAAATAATTGCTGTTTGAACCTCACCTCACTTTGATGGAATTATTTTATGGTGCTTTTTAAGCAGGACAGGGTCAACTTTGCCATTTTGTTTTGCTTCTTGTATTTGCTTACATCAGGTAATGCTTGCGTGGAAGGGGAAGATTATTTATTACTAATGTGAAATGCAAATATATCCTGGATAATGTGTTGAATTTGTTCAAGTTATTGCTTATTAAAGCAGAATATTAGATGATCTTGTGATAATTATAATTTCTTCAAAATTAATAAGAAATTCTGACTTTAATTTTTTTAGCTCATTCTATATAGATGGATATAGATATAGATAACACTTCCTACAATTAGGAAGCAAGAGTCAGATGAACAAAGATTGTGGCAACATAACTTTATTCTCAGTGTTTTGAATTTTTCAAAAATATAATATAAAAATATTGCTAATAAGCTTTTCCATTTTTCTTTTACTCTTTACATGTCTTCCTTTTATGCTCTCTTGGTTGGCCTTCCTAACTTAAGAGTTCATTCTCTCTTTTTTTTCTTGAATAACACTGAAAGCTTGTTAGCTAACCATTTTCACTTTCTACATGATTTCCATAGATTTTCATAATTAATGTGCGTTTTCACTTTCCATTGAAGCTAAGTGGAGCGTGTTCTTCTGTGATGTTTCAGTATGGAACATTAGGAATGCTCATTAAAACAGGACATTGCTGTTCCCAGCTAATAAACAAATGTCTCCATGATTAATGGTTTATATAGTTCTTTTATCCTCTACATTATCTGTGGTCTTATCAAACCTGTGAAAACTACATGATTGCTTTTCCCATTCTATAGAATAGGGGCAGGCAACCTGTTGCCCTCCAGTTGTTGCCTACTGTAAGTTCCTGGCTACAAGACCAAAAATAGTCAGAGATTGGTGAAATGATCGTGCAAAGAATCTGGAGGCCATCAGGCTCCTTTTGCTTTCTATATACAGTATAGCCAAAAAAAGAAAAAAAGGATTATTTGTCAGAACCTAGCCAATGATTTGCCAGCCCAAGATCAGCCCAAGTATAGCTAACGGGTCCATGATGACCTATATCAATATATAGAGCCTCTTTATTGAGCTATTACGGGATGTTGTTTTTACATAGAACTCCCACTGTTTCACATAAAAACAATTGTACAATTTATGGAACATTAACACAGATAAATAGGAACCGAAATCTGCCTAAAAATAGAGCTTTGAAATGTCCTGGAATATGAATGTTCAACTAATTCTAAAAGGTGCTGAGACAAAAATTAAAACAGAAATAGTTGTTTTGTATCAGATAGATTATGAAGCCAGGCAGGAGAGTCCTGCATTTGTAATTATCCCTTTCTTTATATTTTCAAAATAGGAAGAATTTAGAATAATCAAAAGATGGGGTGAATTCTAGGGCATTTTTATTTTATTTTTTTTCCACTCCAGATACGTGGAACAAATGTTTTATTGCAACACAGCTATCCTTCCTTTCCCCTATACCCTCAGAGCTACTAGATACTGAAACAATTAGTTTCATGTGTGCTGTGTTTCATGTAAATTAACTGAGGTTTTTTTTCTTTTCTTTTCTTTATTTTTTTTAAGTTTAGCTACTTTTTTCAGCAGGCAAAGCACAGCCTACTATGAATTGCTTCCTTCTGTGTTACAGGCCCGCTCCCTGAAGGATGGGAACAAGCCATGACCCAGGATGGAGAAATTTACTACATAAACCATAAGAACAAGACCACATCTTGGCTAGATCCAAGACTTGACCCACGCTTTGGTAAAAGTTCCTCTCACTTAAAATTCTTCCCTCCACCCCCCTTTTTTCCCCACTTAGATAAAAACAAGAAGCTGTAGCCAGAGACTTGGCTAATGATTTCAAATTAATTTGAGAAATTCACCTCCCCCCAATCTTAATGTCTCTCCCACTATCTAATGCCTTTGCCCACTTCTACTAACAGCATGTAACCCGTTCTCTCTGTAGGAAGCAGGTGAAGTTTCCCGTAAAGTCTCTCTTTTCATTCATACATACCATTTCAATTTCCTGTTGCCTCTCTCATCCCTTCTTCAGATTTCAATTTTTCCACTGCTATTATATTTGTCATTTTTATTGTATAAATATGAAATAATTATTTACATAGTTATTTCAAAGATAAATCAGTATTCTTGTGGAAGATGGTGGCTTAGGTGTTAATAATGATTTACCTAAGATCACCTGGTGAATCTAGGGCAAAATCAACTTTAAAAAGTCTACTTCATGACAGTTTTTAAGGCTGTATACTTCTCTAACA